ACCATCGAAAAGGTGGCCATGGCGGGCGACCGCGACCTCGTCAGGCTCCTGTTGGCAGACAAGCTCCGACAAGAGCCGGCAGTGGCTACAGACAGAGGAGAAATTGGAGACCAGACTTCGTAAGCTACCTCCGTGGGCCAGCGCGCGCGAAAAGAACCAGCAGGAGATACAGGCTCGGTGCGGTGGGGGGGGCAAAAGGCCGCCAATGGCAGGGGGCAGTGGGGCGACCAGTGGGTGGGGAGAACATCGTCTACGTGCGGGACTTCGAATACCCCGTCGACTGGCGCGAGCTTGGGGACCACATGCAACAGGGGGGCACCGTGGAATTCTGCAGTCACACAGGACGGGGCCGTCTGTTGGAGACCGGGATACGGGCACGATCGCTTTTCCACAGAGGCGGAGGCCAGGGAAGCCATAGCCACCTTGGGAGAGACAGCTCAAGGGCCACAAGATCCACGTCAAGATGTGGTCTGGCGCTGCCGGATGTCATCCACCGTGCGCCTGAGGAGGCGTGGTTGGGCGTGTGGGAAGAGCCGGGCAGTTGCGACAAACTGGGAGACCAGCAAATGCGAGATCCACCGGCAGTGGTGGAGGAGGAGGAGGAGGAATGAGGAGGAGGAGGAGGAATGATGAGGAGGAGGAGGAATGAGGAGGAGGAGGAGGAGGAGGAGGAGGAGGAGGAGGAGGAGGAGGAGGAGGAGGAGGAGGGAGGAGGAGGAGGAGGAGGAGGAGGAGCAGGAGGAGGCAGGATTGTTGGCTCAGCGGGTGGCGCGTGTCCTCGGGCCGCGCAGCGTTCGCCTGGGGAGTCTGGGGTTGCTTTAGGTCGGGCCTGCCCTCCTACAGGGGGATTTTCGACGAGAAAGAAAGAATTCTCAAAACAAACTTCCAACTTGTCAAAAATATACAAAAATAGTCCCCATATTATTTTTGGCTATTTTTGAATCTTACATTCCCCCTGTAGAGGGACAAGCCCGACTTAAGGGTTGCTGTTGCAGCACTGCGGGAGGATGGGAGGCCGGCGGCGAACACAGGGGCATGGCAGAGGAGGGCGTGTCTTCTCTGAAGGCTCGGAAGGCCTCGTGGCGTTTTGAAAAGTGTGCTAAGCCTTCTCCGAAGACGCAGGCGGTTTCCCAGAAGGGTCAGAGGACTTCTGAGTCTGAGGAACGCCCGCCTTTGATCAGGAGGGGAAAAACACACAGATACAATTCATCATCGACCCAACGGAAATCTGGGAAAATATGGGAAGTGTGTGGGGGGGGGAAGACGAAAACCAAGACAATGATAATGGAAAAATCTGGGGCATCCTGTTATTTGTGTCTATGCGAAGGCCTTGCGGCCGGTGCCGCCGACCCTGCAGACGGAGACGACGAGCAGGACAAGAACGTCAGGGAGCAGGAGGCGGAGGACGTCAGGGAGCAGGAGAGGGGAGGAGGAGGAGGAGGAGGAGGAGGAGGAGGAGGAGGAGGAGGAGGAGGAGGGATGATGATGATGATGATGATGATGATGATGATGATGATGATGATGATGATGATGATGATGATGATGATGATGATGATGATGATGGTGGTGAGGATGAGGATGATGTGCTGATGATGATGATGAGGATGATGAGGATGATGTGCTGATGATGAGATATGCGATGATGATGATGGTGGTGGTGGTGGTGAGATGATGATGATGATTGCCGATGATGATGATGATGATGATGATGATTATGATGATGATGATGATGATGATGATGATGATGATGATGATGATGATGAGATGATGGTGGTGGTGGTGGGGTTGGTGGTGGTGGTGGTGGTTGTGGTGGTGGTGGTGGTGGTGGTGGTGGTGAGGAGGAGGAGAGGAGAGGAGGAGGAGGAGCGAAGATGAGGAGGAGGAGGAGGAGGAGGCGGAACAGGATGATGATGATTGAGGAGGAGGAGGAGGGGAAGAGGAGGAGGAGGAGGAGGAGGAGGAGGAGGAGGAGAGGGGAGGAGGAGGAGGAGGAGGAGGAGAGGGGGGAAATGAATAGGAGCAGGACGAGGCGAGCAGGGCCGCATAGTGCAGGAGTGGGAGGGCTGACACGGGAGAGAGGCAGGGGGGGTACAGCGTTGCGAGCATGAGGAGGAGGAGGAGGAGGAAGAAGAACAATGACGAGGAGGTGGACGAAGATGACGACGACGGTGATGATGTCTGTGACGGTGACGATGATGATGTCGCGGAGGGGGGGGGAGTAAACCCGGCGGCAGCAGAAGTCGGAGGAGGAGGAGGAGGAGGCGGAGGGGAGGATGAGGAGGGAGGAGGGGGGGGAGGGAGGAGGAGGAAGGTGAGGATGATGGCTAAGAGGGGGAAGAGGAGGGGAGAGGAGGAGGAGGAGGAGGGGGAGGAGGAGGAAGAGGAGGAGGAGGAGGAGGAGGAGGAGGAGGAACACTGAGGGGAAGGAGGGGGGGAGGAGGGGAGGCGGAGCAGAAGGAGGTTGAGGAGGGGGAGGAGGAGGAGGTGGAGGAGAAGGGGAGGAAGGAGGGGGCTGAAAGTGTAGAGTACAGACACAGGGGATGATGAGGATAGGGTCCTGGGGCCTGGGAGTCCTGGACTTTTGGGGGGGCTGGTTCCTGGTGCTGGGTCCTGGGAGGAGGTCCTCGGGGCTGGGTCCTGGAGGGTCCTGGGGACCTCGGAATTCTGGGTCCTGGGGTGTCCCGTGGCCGAGCGTCCAGGAGGCCGGTTCGGTTCTGGAGGGGGACGGAGGAAAGAGGAGGGATGAGTATGGAGGGAGGAGGGGGGAGGTAGGAGAGGGCGTGGTAGAATGCCTCGGCTCTTGGCCCGTCTGAGGTTTTGTGTGGGCCCCAGGAACCCCAGGGGGGGAGTCGCATCTGAAGCGGGCCCCCCCCCCTGGTTCCCCCCCGGGACCCCCGGGACCCCCCCCGGGACTCCCCGGGACCCCCTCCGGGACCCCGCCCCCCTGGCAGGGGAGGGATCAAAGGGAAGGGGCTCCCCTTCGACTCAATGACAACGTTGCTCTTGAGGGGGAGGCCCTGGAAAAGCGAGGGGGGAGCGGCGGCGGGCCCAGGGAAGAGGGGGGAAGGGGAGGAGGGGAGACGGGCCCAGGGAAAGGGGGAACGCAGGGACAGGAGACGATTGGCCCAGGGAACGGGTGGGCGCATGGACAGGAGACGACGGAGACGACGGCGAACGAACGAGGGGGGCGGACGAGCCCCTTCGCACACGCCGACACAGGGTCGGCGGATTTATGTGTGCGTCCCAGGGCCCGTTCATTTGAGAAGGCCCGGCCCGTCTCACCATTCGCCCCCTGGCGCGCGGCCGAGGAGGGGGCAGGGGAGGAGGAGGGCCAGTCTTAAACCAGGAGTCATTGACTAAGTTGGAATAGCCCTCGGAGGAGGAAGAGGTACCCATACATTTACCCTTCCCTGGTGTTCGTCATTTTGGGCCTCCTGGGCGGCCCTCGTCGCCACCGCTGGGTTCGCCTCGAAATCCTGGTCAGAACGCACCCCGGGAGAGGTTCGGAGAGTAGCGGTATCGGTACCTATTGACTTCCCCAAACCTTCCCTGCCAAGTTTCTTCATAAGCGTCTACAAAGGTTCATTTCCACTGAGGAGAGAGCCCCGCTGGAGTTTGAAGATCCTGAAGCGTGCGAACAAAACATGCTCGGGACTCCAGCGCCACGAATCAGCCTGACTGTTGCGTCTTGGCGATCCAGAACTGTGCCAGAACACCAATCCTGGGACTTCGACATCGCGAATCATCGTGGCTGCTTCGCCCTGGCAGTCCTGTAACGTTCCAGCAATCATTTCCTGTACGTTGACCGTGGGACTCGGTGGAACTGTTGCACATGTGTTAACACGAGTGCGCAACACTACGGCTAGAGCCACATTGTAAAATAGGAGCCGCCCCCGATCTGATAAGTTATTGCACCGGTTTGAGACATATGGTTGCGACGATACGACAGGAGCCACATTTTGAAAACCGGCCCGCCCTCATTCTGTGAAACTGGTTTTCCAAATGAATTTTGAAGCGAGCGCGCGCGGCGCCAAGGCGAGAGTTACACGTTGAAAACGGCCCGCCATCAACATGTGAAGCTCTTGTACGAATGCGCGGCGCCGTGGCAAGAGCCACACTTTGGAAACAGCCCGCCCTCCATGTGTGAAACTGCTGCCGCTCTTGAGCTCCAGGGCCATAGGTGATAGGAAGGCTCAGGCGAAACGCTTGGCCCGCCATTCCGACCGCCTTTGGGGTGCGACAAGGACAATCTTTTACAAGGAGAAGGAATTCAGGAGGAAGGAAGACGAGGAACACGAGTGGGAGGAGGAGGAGGAGGAGAAGGAGGAGGAGGAGGCGCAGGAGGAGGAGGAGAAGGAGGAAGGAGGACAAGGAGGAGGAAGGAGGGAGGGAGGGAGGGGAGGGAGGGAGGGAGGAGGATGAGGAGGAGGAGGAGGAGGAGGAGGAGGAGGAGGGAGGAGGGAGGAGTTAGGAGGGAGGCGGGGCATCGGAGGTGGACGGAGTGGAGGAGGTAGGGCGGGACGGTCACGCCATAGGAGAAGCGAAGAGAAAGAGGAGGGGGAGGGCAAAAGAAGAGAAGGAAGAAGGAGGAGGGAGGAGAGGAGGATGAGAAGGAGGAGAAGGAGGAGAAGGAGGAGGAAAGGAGGAGAAAAAAAGGGGGAAGAGGAGGAGGAGGAGGAGGAGGAGGAGAAGGACGGAGGGGAGGAGGAGGAGAGGAGGGGGAGGAGCAAGAGAGAAGGAGTAGGAGGAGGAGGAGGAGGGAAGGAGGAGGAGGAAGGGAGGAGGAGGAAAAAAGGGGAAGGTAAGAGGAGGAGGAGGAGAAGAAGGAGGAGGCGGAGGAGGACGAGGAGGAGGGGGAGGAACAGTTGGGGGAGGAGGGAGGGAGGGCGTGTCATGGGCGGGGGGGGGTTGGCAGGCTGCCCTCCACCCCGCCCCGACGAATGGGGGTGAGATGCCTCGCCGCACGCGCGGCCCGCCGAAACACCCCGCGCGGGGCACCTCAGGCGAGAAGCACTTCGGTGCGGTCTCCGCCGCCGCGCTGCTGCAGACCCCGCGCGCGGCTCTGGCGCAGCTGCAGGGCGGGCGGCGCGGCACGCCGCTGCAGGCGCGGCCGGCCCCTGCGGCTGCCCCGTGCGGCGGCGGCGATGTCCACGACGACGACGACGACGACGACGACGACGACGACGACGACGACGACGACGACGACGACGGCGACGGCGGTGGCGGCGGCGGCGGCGACGGCGACGGCGACGGAGACGGCGACGGCAACGGCGACGACGACGGCGACGACGACGATCCCGCGGCTGCCATCGTGCTAGCCGAAGCGTGTGTTTGGTTCGTTCGGCTCCTCCGATAGCGCTGAGCATGTGTCGGCCCTGGTTGCGCTGCCTGCGTCGTCTTGAAGGGCTTCGGTGGACAAGCGCACGTTGGTGTTAGCACGCGTTCTGAGGATCACCGAACAGCGGTGGCTCCGACGATCGCTGGAGTCAGATCGATGGCTGTTGGAGGCTCTCTTGCTTCGGGAGGTTGTCCAGCAGCTGCGGCTCGTCGAGGGCGTTCCGGAGGTGCCCAGGTCGTCTTCGGATGGCCGCCAGGTGGCCGACGTTTGGCCCGCACAACACCAGGCGTGGAAGAGCGAGCGGGGTGAGGTTTGGGCAGACTTTTGGCAGACTCTGTCATATCACCTCGGTATCGTTTAACCAATCCCCATCCCAATCCCCATCCCCATCCCCTTCGAGACCCCCACCAAATTACCAACCCAGTTGGGGATACACCCCTCGAAACCCGAAGGGAACGGCCTGTCCCCATCTAGGGGGGTGAATCGGTCAGTGGGGCCCAGGCCACGCCGCTGGGGATGGGGATCGGTTACACGATACTCATCACCTCTGGCTTACAGCGCGCGCCGCATTGAGGCGCTGGTGCTCGTTCGAGCTTCATGCGTGCTCCACGCAGCGCGCTTCTTGTTGCGATCCGTGCCGGTCGCGGGCTTGGTCCAGCCTTTGCGTTGTCCGTTGGAGCGCTTGATGGAAGCGCAGACGCGTGAGTGATCTTGCCAAGGGTGAGTGGGGTGAGGACTGGGAGGGATGTCGAGGCCGGGGCCGTGATATGCCCCAGACGTCATGGCCTTCTCCTTCTCTCGGCACGTTCGCTGGGGCCCCTCCCTTGTCCGCCCACATAGCCTCGGGCCATGGCGCGCCAGGCCCCCTCGTCCAGCCCCGCCTCTCCCCCTCGGCGCACCCAAGACGACGGAGGCATGGAGGACCCGGACAGCGGCGTCGACGGCGGCGGCGATAACGCCGTCGACGGCGACGCAGTCGAGGAGGAGGAGGAGGAGGAGGAGGAGGTTGAGGAAGAGAAGGAATTGGAGGAGGAGGAGGAGGAGGAGGCATCGGAGAAGGTTGGCGAGCCCGAGGGCGACAGCGACGTCGCCGTCATCGCCGTCGGCGGTGACGACGACTGCGACGATTATCTGCATCGTCCTCATCGCCGTCCTGCTTCTTCTCCACGTCCTCCTCCTCGTCCTCCTCCTGAGGGGGGGGGTGAAAGGGGTGAGGGCATGAGTGGATGTGGGAGGGAGCAGAGAGAGTGGAGGAGGGGAGTGGTGGGGAGGGGGAGGGGAGTGGGAGGCCAGCAGAGGTCCGCGTTCTGCTCCCTTCCTCGCCCCCCTGTCTTCCGCATCCTCCGCCGCCGGCCGCCTCGCCATGCGTCCCTCCTCGTCCTCGTCCCCATCCACGTCCTTCGAGTCGGCGCCGAGACTCGGCACCGAGCCAGAGAGACCGCGGCGGGTCGTCGAGCGCCCTCCGTGACGTTCTCGGCGCTCGCCCCCAAAGTACTGGGAGCCTTCGCTTGCGTCCTCGCGTTCCCCTCCAGGCCGACGGGAGGAGGGACGACTGGGGAAGTTGCGGGCGAGGCAAGAGAGACACGATTGCTCCACAGCTGGCACCCTTTTCTGTTGCGTGAATCCTTGTCAATCCGCTGGCTGGGGTGTCCTGGGTGGCACGGATCCCCGAGTGGCGGTGGCAGGATTTGACCCATCGTTCAATGTGCAATCTTGGGAAGCAGGGCTTGTACATTGGAGGAGGAGTATGCGGCGGATAGAGGTGGATGGGGTCGGAAGAGAAGCAGGAGGAGCAGAAGGATCAGGGGAACGCAGAGAAACAACAAAGAAGGAATACGATCCAGAAGTGTGCACCACGCTGCTGCGTGATCGCCACTGAACGCCAGGAGCACAGCACCGATTCAGAAATATGGCCAACGCTGCAACGGGAGCACATGCTCGAATGGCTGACGACGCCCCGATCGGACAGAACACAGCGGCCTCAGAACGTTTGGGCCCTGCCATTGAAAAAGCAGGGATGGGAGCAGGAACTAACACATATTAACGCCATACATGCGATATCCTGAGTGTGCGACATCACTACGCGACCGCGGCGATCACGCGCTGGTGCATTTTGGTGGGAGAGGGGAGACGTGTTCGTATCAAGTAAGTACGACGAGGAAGGAGGACTAAGAGGAGGAAAGGGGGCCGAGGAGGAGGACGAGCAAGCGCAGGAAGAGGAGGAGGAGGAGAAACAGGAGGAGAAACAGGATAAGAGACAGGAGGAGGGATGATGGAGGACATGCAAGAAGTATGAGACGGGCTCGCGCAGGATGGTGGGAACACGGGAGCAGGGAATACAGTCGGACCGAGGTATAAGACCGAGGGCCGTTTCGGGGAGGGCATCCTAATAGTCTTCGTGCTTGTTGGGTGTTATTGTGCGTCCTGGAGGAGGGTACCCTTGGATGTTCTGTGTGTTTTGGCCGGCGGGGGGTCCCATGTTCTTGGGAGATGTTCTTCTGGCCCGGGTCCGACTGTACGGAGGGGCGGGCCACCACGCGCAGTGGGGGGGAGGGGGAGGGTGGAAGGCTTCTCAGGCGGAGGCTGCTCCTTAGAAGGCGGGGGCCTTGTCTGCAGATGTAAGGCCCGCGCCTTCTAAGAAACAGCCTCCTCCTAAGAAGCCTTCCCCCTTCCCCCTTCCCCCGTCTGCGCGCTGCCAAGGATCAAGGGAGGAACAACCACCCGGACCAGACAATGGGCGTTTGCCAAACGGCCCTGGGCGTTACTAAACAGCCCTACCCTGTTCGATTCCTTCTTTGGACGCGTTTGCTAAACGACTTCTCGCGTCGGGTTGGTTACTATGGGGGTGGAATGTTTGACCTCGAGAGGAGGGCCGCCGAGTGTCTGCCGCCGCCCGTGCACAGGACAGCCTCGCGCAGTTCCTGGCCGACCGCGCCCGGAGCACGGGCAGCAAGGCGGCTGCCGCACGCCCCCTGTGGCGCCCGCTCTTGCCTGCTGCGCCCGCAGGGAAGCGGAGCACGGAGCCCAGCCGCAGCCTCAGCCCCCAAGCATTCGCGCTCCGAGCTCGCGACCTCCTCCTCCTCCTCCTCCTCCTCCTCCTCCTCCTCCTCATCCTCCTCCTCCTCCTCCTCCTCTTCCTCTTCCTCCTTCTCCGCCTCCTCCGCCTCCTCCTCCTACTCCTTCTCCCTCCCCTCCTCATCCTCCTCCCTCTCCTCCTCGGTTCCTCCGTTCCCCACGGCGTGGAAGGCTTCAAGACGTTGCCGCTTCCTCCAGGGCGGCCCGGTCGGGCCTCCCCGGGGGAGTAGTGCAACAAGGAGACGAAGATGAGGGGACCAGGTCCCGCAGACAGACGGGAGGAGGAGGAAGAAGGAGAGACCATCATACCTTATTAGAACATCTGGAACAAAGGGAAAGAGTGGGGACGATCCCCTGGCCCCGTGGGGCCGGTGCCCAGGGGTCCCCTCCCCCCGCAGGGTGGCCACGTGTGTGTGTGTGTGTATGTTTGAGGAAGGAGGTGCAGGCGGCTGAACGGGCGGTGAGGTGGCGCGGGATGCCCTCTGGTGCTCAGGGCTGCCGTGGCCGTTGAACCTCCTGCCGTGCCCTGTTCTCCCCCCCTCCTCCTCCTCCGCCTCCTCCTCCTCCTCCTCCTCCTCCTCCTCTTCCTCCTCCTCCTCCTCCTCCTACCTCCTCCTCCTCCTCCTCCTCCTCCCCCTCCTCCTCCTCCTCCTCCTCCTCCTCCTCGTCCCCTCCAGCCTGCTCGGCGCGAGCATGTTTACCCTCACCCCCCACCCCGCCGCGCCGCAGCTCCTCTCGCTGGTGGCCGAGCGCGTCGCGGCCGACCCCTTCGAGAAGGCGCCGCCCCAGTGTCCTGCGGGGGGCGGGCACGGGGGGGATACCGCAGGACCAGAGGGGTCCAGGGGGTGCGCCTGCCACTGGCCCCCAAGACGGTCCAAGAGGGTTCCGAGGCACCGAACGACCAGTCCAAGACCCCAAGATGGCCTCCAGACGGCGCAAGAAGCTTGCAAGACGCCCCAAGCATCCTCCAAGAGGCCTCCCCAGAAGGCCCCCAGAGGCACAATTCTGTGATTCCTAACCATCCTGTGGTGTTGGGTCCTCGTTTTGAAGAGACGGTCCCCGCGTTCACTCCTCCTCCTCCCGCTGCCCCCTCCCTCGTCCACTCATCCTCATCATTCTCGTCCTCCTCCTCATCCTCCTCATCACCACCAACATCCATTTTGGCTCCAGCGGCGGCATGGGCTGGGGCTCGCAGCTGCCATCTGTTTCGCGACTCTGCCTCATCGTGCAAGCAGCCGATGGGCTCGCGCAGCCGCTCGCGCGACAGCAACCATGGACGGACGCACGATGATGATGCACTTCAGAGAGATGCTGCGCTCCCGATGGCGAAATATTCCGCGGACGTGAAGACGTCCATCGGCAATGTGCGCAGGGACGTCGAGAGGCACCAGGGGCGCTTCAACAACATGGAGCAGGATATCAAGGACTTGCGAGAGGAACGTTCGGCAGCTCCCTCATCCACGGGAGCTGCCTCGGTCGGCAGCGGCTGCGGTTCCCCTGGGTCGAGGGCACGGCGGCGCAGCCGTCCGTGTCGGGGCCAAAGAGGGCGTGCGACAAGATCTGTGTGATTATTGGCGACTGGGATCGGGACACCCCGCGACACCATCCTGAACGAAGCTCGTGCGTTCACCGACGCAAATCCCGACAAAGCAGAGGATGGGGTGTTCGTCCCGCTCAAACGAGCCAGTTTCCTGCAGGTCCGCTTTACGGGTTCGGGGCGTATGGGGGCCGGGGTGCGTTTGATGAAAGGGAAGCGCTTTGGTCGACGCGTTTGGTTTTCTGTGGAGGCCCTCGGAGGAAATTCGGCTGTCAATGTTGGTTTCGCATGCGAAGAAGGAGCTGACCGACAACCTAGGCGCGCAGGCTGCGGACCTCGAACTAGGCAACAGTCGAGGCATCATCTGGTGGAAGCAGCACAGGCTCGGCGAGATGGTGGGGACTACGGGCCAATGACTGGACCCGGAGCGGACTCTGGAGGAGTCCGAGGAGCAGATGTGCATCAAGCTCATCAGCTGGGACGCTCAGGGCATTGCGAAGCACAGCGCGGAGGCTTTGCTGCGGCTTTGCGCGAGCAGCACGACTACGACGGGGCCATCCTCCAGGAGGCCGGCTACTGGGGCAAGGCCACGGGGCTAAAGGTCGGCGAGGGCGACCTCTACCTGGTCACACCGCGGGCCGAGGGGCAAAAGCAGATGGGGCTGCTGGTGCGCTCTCGGGCTCGACTTTTTCTACGAGGAGATTGGCTGCCGTGGGGGCGCTCGGCGGCGCGCTTATTTCGCATCCGCAAGAAGGACTATTGGATAGTATGCAATCACCTTTTTTCCAGGGCGCTCCCTCACACAGAGCGAGGACTCTATGGAGGAGCTTTCCGACCTGATCATGATGGCACCGCCTGGGACGTGCCCGATCGTGGGCGCGGGCGCGCAGACGGCCTTGCCCCCCGCCGCAGGCGGACGAGGAGCGCTGGATTGGCGACTTCCCAGTCGGCCAGCTCACACGTCGCGACGCAATTTTGACGGTGCTTCTCGCGCAGCGCGACCTGTCGGCGACGAACACGTTCACCGCGGCGGCGAGCAGACCCACCTGCCACTGCGATGTCAAGCACCCGCCAGCCCAGATCGACTATGTCTTGACACCTGCTCGCGACACCTGGGAGGTCAGCGCCGCGCCCGAGGAGATCGCCGACAGTGCGCAATCCGACCACTCGGCCATCAAGCTGGAGTTCACCCTCGGCACCAGGAGGCGCCACAGCTGGAACGGAGGTCGGGCGCGCATGAAGGGCTGGACCTGCCTCTGCAACCGCTTCCAGCGCTGGAGCCACAGCGCCTGCTACGCCGACCGCAACCCAGCGCCGATCACTTCCATGACGGACGCGGCGTACCTGGCTGCCGCTGCCTGCGCCGAGGCCCGCCTGCGAGGCAGGGTTCCGAGCTCCCCGGGGGCCACGGGCTCATGCAGACGCTGCGGGTGTTAGAGGCGCGTCGGCGGGTCATCCGCGACGGCGCGCAGCGCGCGATCTACAGCAAGGATGCCAGCAAGGTTCGCAGGGGGATCTGGACCGCGAGCAGTGCCCTGCAGCATTGTCTGCAAGAGGCGGGCATTCCCCGAGCACGAGCGCCTCGCCGAGCTCAGCCTGACCCGATCCACAACCAGCTGACGACAACGGAGGGGGGATCCAGGACGGCCCGCGGAGAAAAAAGGATCTCCTGAAACGCGAATACGGCAACGCCTTCAGGGCCAGCGACGGGGAGAGGGGCCTGTCGGGGTTTCTGCCTACCTCGCCCTCTTCACGACGGGGGGCGTCCTCGGCACCCCGCCCCTCTCGCCCGAAATGCACGGCGAGGCTCTATGCGACATGAAGGCCATGAAGTCTCCTGGCGTGGGCGGGGTGGTCGCCGAGGCCCTGCAGGCCCTCGGCTCGGGCTTCCTCGCCTCGCTCGCGACCGTCTTCGAGGGCCGCTTCCGCGGGGTGCCCGAGCATGCCAGGGCCCAAGCCTGGTCGAAGCACATCATCCAGCTCATGAGGAAAAAGGGAGACAAGCACGCGCTCAAGGGGTGCAGACCGATCACGCCCCTGACTACCTTCGAGGAGCTATACTCTGTTGGCCGGATCAAGAAATCCGCCAACAAGTTGACCCTGCGGAGCCCACAGTACGCCTACCGGAAGTACCACCAAGCGATGAACGTGATCTGCAGCATGCGCATGCTGACGGAAAAGAGCCGAGAGTGGAGCCGTCCCATCCTCATCATGGGCGGCGGTATAGAGGCCGGCTTCGACCGCGTCTCGCACCGCTCGGTCGATGAGACACTGAGAAGAATGGCTGCGCCAAGGCCCTCGATCCTAGTCATCATGAGGGAGTTGAAGGCCTCGGTGGCGATCAAAATGGGCTCCATCCAGACGCAACCAGCACCTCGGACTCGCGGTATTCGACGGGGAGACCCAGCCAGCGCGATCTTCTCCAATATAGTGCTGGAAGATGCTTGGGAGGAGTTCCTGGGCGAATGAAGGACGCACGACTGTGGCTAGGAGTTCCCCGGCGAGGCGACGCTGCACGAGGCGGGACTTCTCTACGCCGACAACTTCTGCCCGTTTGCGGGCGCGGCCGAGTCGCTGCGCCAGATGACGATGGCCTGGCGGCGCATCCTGCGAGCACGCGGCTGGTACGCACCCCCCTTGGCTCTGACCTGGGGTGCGACGGCGCTGGGCCACGAGTTCGGCGACTACCAGATGAGGGTCGAGGATGGCGCCCTGACGCGCACGCCTCGCGCCGAGGTTGTTCCTTCCCTCCGCTCTCTTTTCGCCTTCGATGGAAGGTCTTGGAAGGGCGCGCAGCACAGGGTAGCTCGCGCGAGGAGAGCCTTTTACGCTCCCAATACGTCTCTACCTGGATGCGCCTGCCGCTGGCAGCAGGCCGCGAAGCTGCTCGAGCGAGCCATCAAACCTGTCTTGCCCCATGGGTCGGGATCGTGGCGCCCCAAGGTCAAGGACCTGAATCTAATTCGAGTCACGCACAGCAGAATGTTCCCTCAGCTGATTTGCACGCAGAGATGGGAGGAGGAAGCGCCAGGGGATTTCTGTCGCCGCCGATGGCGCCGCGTCCCTGCCGCTCTCCAGTCCCACGCGACATAGCACATAGACGTGAACCTTCGCAGGCTTACCTGGGCTGGACACCTAGCCCGCCAGGCTGCCCTGCCAGACTCCACACCTGCCCGGCTCGTGCCTGTCCATCTGCTACAGGGCGCAGCATGGCCTGGCTCCAGGGAAGGATACGCGAGCACGGATCCCAGACGCATGGCCGAATATGCAGGGCCTTGCGATGGGAGATGGACCTCGCCCGACTGTTCGGTTCCGATTGGCTCGCGGATGTTTGCCAGTGCAGAGTGGTAGAGTGGCTCGCTCGCGTTCGCCCGATCGCACGCCAGCTGCACTGGCCCCAATCTTCTCGTGCCTCACGCAAGGCACTTTAGCTTGACGTTTCTTTCAGCGGCTTGACGTGCCGCCTCAGGCGCAAGGGAGACATTGAGGGCACGATGCGAAGAGCAAATTGCATCATCCGCATCCTCGTCATATGTATTTTATATTTAACTGCATCTTCATCACCAGCAACATCATCATCACCCTCCGTCCTCCCTTTCGTCCTCCTTCTGCTCCGCGTGCCCTGCGACCGCCTCTGCGCTCTCCGCGCGTTCCCTCGCTCTCCGAATGGCCATGTCGGCCGCGACTCCAGGGCCGCCCAGCATGTACCTCACCTGCCTCCTCTTGCTCCTCGGCCCCGTTTTCCTCCCGGTCCCTTCGTTCCCGCCTTTTTCTGAGCACCCCCTCTGCCCTGGTCACACCCCCGTTTTCCTGCCCGTTTCGGTTCAGTTTTCCCCCAGTGTGGTTGCTCCCCCCCTCTCCCCCCCGCCCCCCCCCCCCCCCACATACCCTGCGCCTGCTCATCGTTGGGCATCGACGGAGGAGGAGGAGGAGGAGGAGGAGGAGGAGAGGAGGAGGAGGAGGAGGAGGAGGAGGAGTAGGAAGAGGAAGAAACCAGCAACAGTCATGGCCCGAGAGCAGACGATGTCAGCGCGGTGGCGGGCACGGCAACGGTTTGCTGCATTTGTTCATCCCATCCTTTCTCATATCGGTTCTCTTCAGAGTTGCGTGGTCGGTTCCCTCGAATGCAGCCTTGTATGCGTTGCTGCCAGTCCATGCCGCCCCCCGGGTTTGTAACTCTATGGTCGACCTCGCCCACTACATGGCTGGTGCCTCGCTGCCACGTTGTGTCTCTATCGCGGTCCTCGTTGTGGGTGCACGTTGCCTTGGTTGCTTGTTAAGAGTACCGGCAGTTCCTGGAACGCGCGGCAGGTCAAGAAAATGGTCAAGGATCTGATTGTTAAATTGATGGAGGAGGCAACGGCGGAGACAGAGCACAAGGTTGCGCTCCTTGTTTGTCAGGAGAGTTGACATTGATGGCCCGCTGCGTGTCTATGAGCAAGCTCACGAGCACCATATGGTTTGATTAGTTTTTGTGTTTGTGCGATGGCGTGCTTATATTGAAGAGCGATGCGCGCCAGGAGTCTATTATCTTGAATGTGTTGAAAAATTGAGGGACGGAAAGGGATCCGACGGATAAATCATGCAGCTGGTGAGGGAGATCTACAAGAGGGGAGAGGAGTATGTACATGGGACGCGTCAGTGAGTCAACGTGTTCTATATGCGGCACAGCTGCCATTATTGGATTTCTGAGGCTGGTACGTATGCACAGCATCGGCAGCCTGTTCGGTGTCCTCCGCGTCTGCTCCTTTATCCCTCGTCTTCCGCCGTCTCCCATTCCGGTTCCCTCCCTCCCATCCTCCTCCACAATCCCTCCGTCCTTCGAGGTGGAGAGAAGTCCCCCCTCGTGAAGTGGAAGGAATGGGAGAGAAAAGGGCAGCGGAGTGGACTAGAATGGGGAAGATAAGCCAATGTGAATGCAATGGGGGCGGTGAGAGGAGCGAAGCAGCGAGGCCAGACGGGCTGGAAGGGAGAGGTTATCGGGGTGTGAGAGGACTGATTATCCACCTCCTCATCCTTCTCGTGTTGCCTCCTCCTCCTCCTCATCATCATCTTCCTCCTCCTCCACCTCCTCTTCCTCCTCCTAAAGTGCCTCCTCCTCTTCCTGCTCCTTCTGCTGCTCCTCCTCCTCTTTCTCGTGTTGTTTGTTTTGTATCATCATCCCATTTCGCTGTCCTTCCTCCTCCTCCTCCTCCTCCTCCTCCTCCTCCTCCTCCTCCTCCTCCTCCCTCCTCGTCGGACTCTGCCCCTGGGCCTCGATCTCCCGTGCACTCCGTGCGCCTTCTCCCTCTGGTCTCTCCTTCTCCTACCGTCCTCCTCTCCCTCGCTGCCTCGTGCGGCGATGCCACGGCGCGGCGGCGCAGGGCTGGTGCGACGCGGAAGTCGGGGCGAACAAGGCGGCCGCGTCGCTCCCCAAGGGGAGGGGGGGCAGCCAGCAGGAGAGGGCGGAGAGGGGGGAGGGAGGGAGGAATCAGGCAGGGAGGGGAGGGAGAGGAGGCAGGGAGGGAGGGAGAGGATGCAGGGAGGGAGGGAGAGAAGCCCGGCAGGAAGGGAGGGAGGGAGGGAGGGGAGGGAGCAACCAGGCAGGGAGGAAGGATATCCACACGATTCGCAACACGAGGCGCAAGCGAAGCTCCCTGAGCACGACGGGGCCTGACAACTGACTCCAGAGCACCACCAGATCCAGAAGAAGTTCGTGCGGACTTCCGAGTGCTTTTGTGTATGCCGATGTTTGGCCCTCTGTGTATGCCGATGTTTGCGATTCCAGAAGAGGGAAGAGGGAAACACGCAGGGAGGAAGCTGGGGGGGGAGGGGCCGATGAAGGAGGGGGGTCGAGGAGGAAGAGGAGGAGGAGGAAGGTGAGGAAGGAGGAAGAGGAGGAGGATGCGAGGAGGAGGAGGAGGAAGAGAGGAGGAGGGGAGAGAGGGAGAGACGGAGGGAAGGAAAAGGGGGGTGGGAGGGAGGGAGGGAGGGAGGGAGGGAGGTGGGGGGGGAGGGAGGGAGGGAGGGAGGGAGGGAGTGGAGGGAGGGATAAGGAGGAGTAGGAAGAGGAGGAGGAGTAGGAGGAGGACGAAGTGAGGAGGAGGAGGAGGAGGAGGAGGGGAGGATGAGGAGGGAGAGGAGAAGTGAGAAGGAGGAGGAGAGTGAATGATGAGTGTTTCTAGATCGAGGAGTGGTGGCGAAGGAGGCGGGAACGGCGGCGGAAAAGAAATATGATTCAAAGTCATTTCCTATAAGAGAATGTCGGTGGGGTTACCCCCTCATTACTGTAAGCTCGGCACCACACGACACGTGGGACACGAATGGCATGGCCCGAGCTTCGGGCGTAGCCCGTGTGCGGCCCGCACCGACAGGTGCACGTGGGATCCACCAGCAAACAGCAACGACGCGGGAGACCAAGGGCGAGCAGGCGCCAGACCTGGCCGAGGGAGGCGAAGGCGCCCCCCTAGGCGTCCGCGCGCGGACGCCCAGGGGGGAGCGTTTCACGCAGCCCCCAGCCAGGGATGGCCCCCGAGGGGGGAGGAGAGGCCCGCGGCCCAGGAGGAGCGGGAGGGGCGAGAGGAGGGGGAAGGGACGAGACGACCGCAGGAGGGATCCCCGTATTTGCACCAAAACTAAGAGGAGCAGCGGCTTCCTTGAAACTGGGACGAGGTCGCACTAAAAAGCCATGCGGCGGCCAGCCATGCACTGGTCAGCTAAATGCCAGCAACAAATCTCCGACCTTTCACTTCCACGGGCAGGCACAAACTCACTCTGCACCTGCTGCAGCGGCACGCGATTCACGAGCACAACAAATACAGGCACGCAACATAGAAGCTCACACTGCGGGCCTCACTCATGTCCTTCGCGCTCCTGCAGCCCACTCCTTTTCCATCGGGTACTCTGGAGAATCCGCACCCAGTTCTACGCCGACATTGCCTCGATGATCTGCTGACCTTCCACCTCGAGGTGGCCTGCAGGGCGAGGGCCAGACCACGCCACCTTCTTCTCCGCCGCTTCCACGGCACACAATAGAACACGCTCCAGTTTCTCACCCTTCATCGCGATCATGAGCCGCTTCTTCTTGCTGTCGAACATCTCCTCTGTCCGAAAGAGACCGACGACATGTTGGGCCTCACGACTGCCTGGCTTGTTCTTGGCTAGGTAGTCGGTCAGCACCTCCTTGATCTCTGGGGCCGCCGTGTCCGCCATCGTAATGCACGCCGCCGTCTGGTTGAACGCGCCGGGCGGCCCCAGACCGTGTCCGCTCTTGCCTCGCACGCGAGGGAGGTACTCCTCGTTGTGCGCCTTCTGCATTGACTGCCATAGAGCTCCTTCCGCACTGATCTCGCACTGCGATGTGCACGCCGCCTCCAGAAGACGAAGCTTTTGATGTGCAATCACACCCAGGCGCAGAGAGAGGTTAATATTCGTCTTGTCCTCCGTATTCTCGGCCTTCGCATACTTGACTGCCCGCCCTTGCGGTGTTGCCGACGCATCTCCTGGGCCGCATGATGAGAACTGATGCGCCCACATGCCGTCCGCGCACTGCTAGAAGAAACAAGCTTCGATGCGCCCCGTCACCGCTGAGCCGCGATAGCAACAACCCCCGCATGTCAGTGCACCTAATTATCACGCATCACCGTTTACCCAGGAACGTGGCTGACCAGATGGGCCCGAGCCGACACATACGAGGCAAACTCCATATCACAGAATTCACACCTATAGAGAGGGTCCACCGTATGACTATGAATGGTAACCGATCCCTTGGATTTCGGACATACACATCTAGCGATACTGACTGCTAGATGTTCTGAAGCATACCTCCGAGTGGTATAGAAATTGTCACATTTAATTCATGTGTTAGACGCCGTCAAGATCTTGGCAAGGGTCTTTTTTTCCCATGGCCGTCCGCTTTTAAGTTGGCCTGATGTAGCAGGAGCTGCCTGCGAGACTTACATCCCATTCCACAGCCCTCGATATCGCACGCGCATGGAGCGGGGGCAGGAACCCCGGGAACAAGTTCAAGACCAGGGGGCGGTAAAACCTGCGCCTCATCTTCTCCCAACTGTCCTCCTCCAATCTCCTCGTCCACCTCGTTCGCTTCCACCCCCTCCGTGTAGATCTCCTCGAACGTCCTCGGTCCTCCCTCAGCCCTCTTGACCTGCGACACCTTCACACCTAGGAACGCCTCCCTGATCTCCGAATTGCAAAAAAAGCCCCACTGGCCTGCGGAGTAGTGCTGGTCGCACTTCTGGCATTCCCAGGCCCGCGATACACACAGAAACATCAAATAGAAACTGGCTCCACCATTTGTGTACAGCACTAGTACCTGGCGCAGCACACGCGTTCCCATGCACATCGCATAGGTTGAGCTGATCCCAGGCAGCATATCAAAAAATCTCTGCCAAGATTAACAAGTGCTTCTCAGGTGATCGGACTAGCTCTTGCCACCAGCGAATCCTCCAAGCTCTCGAGGTGCAGTAGGGGGCCCTTATCTCCATCTCCTTCCTTATCTCCGTGTTGGTAAAGCTCGATATGTTTGTGGGCATTCACTGGCGGCAGCAATCTTCAAACAGCCTTTGCCTTGCAGGGCACGCCTAGCTAGATGTGCTTGGACTCCCTCCAAGCGCTGCAAATCAGACCCGCTCAGAGGACAGGCGATGAGCTCCGCAAGAAGCGACCCCTCCACCATGCTTTTGAACACCGCAGCCCTCCACTTCACATTCCTGCTATCTGACCAAACACTGCCTAGTACTGCGAAGGCTTGCCTGGCGCGCCGCACGCGCAGCTCAACCTCGGGCTTCGAGCTACCTTGAAAGCGCAGCCGACCTCCTAAATACTTAGCGTCCCTCTTCACCTTTCCCAACATCCGCCTGCTTCTCGTCATTCAAGGCAACGCCTATCTCCTTCAGCTCACCTTCCAACGATCTGCACTGCGACAACGTTCGCAGCCTGCAATGCGTAGCGTCTGTCACTGCTGAAGTCTTTGCAATATCATCAGAAAAAAACTAGACAGCGAGATGTCCATGAACTCCCTGGACTTCTGATTCAGCAGCACTCTACCGCCAGGACAATCGGTTAGGCAATGCCTAAGCCACTTCATCTGCACATACAAGCTGGGCACATCCGAATCCCTGAACACGTCCAACGGCTTATTATAGGCCCCCAGGAACCATATGCACGAGATCGTGCCCCCAGGTAGCGCGCCCTGCCCGATGCCCATGACTAGCGCCCCATCCGTACATTCGATCGACACCTGTGCGAATCGTAGTCTCTGTTTGAACAGCTCGGCAACACACGCGTCACAATGCTCATCTACGTACGCGTGCAAATACTCGTGCTCAACACTGTGGAACGCGTTCGTGGCATCATACAGAGTGGTAAGCCTGCCCATTTTACTACCGTGCAAGCGAGCCACACACACACACACATATTGCGCAAGGGTCGCCTCCTCTCGGCGCCTACCCTTCAAGCACCCAAAAGAGTATACCCTACCAGCAGAACGTGTCAGCTCGGGGTACCTGCTCCACAGTACTCCATAGTATGATTTACCGAATGAGTCGAGCGAATGCACAAGCCTCTGGCCCTTGCATTCGCTCTTTCCGTTTAATTTGATCAGGGAAAAAAAGCTTTGTTCTGGTGTCGTTGCAACGGGGTTTCACCGTGGTGCCTAATTGCTCTACGCGTATCCAGGTTAAACATGTACTAATATCCGGGAAATACCAGCCATCCTCTTCGTGCGTCTCTCCAGAGGCATCCGACTGCTCATAGCGAAATTCACTCGGGCACATCAGCAGCCGCCGCACTCCTGCTGGGAAGCTCCAGTCGGGCGGCGTCCGCCTCAGCCTAGTATTGCGCATCTTCCTACGCACTTCTATATAATCGTCCGTGTCGTGCTGAATGGTACGAATGGTACGGCCCACCTTGGGCTCTCGGTTCTGCCTACGCTGCTGCTCCTCATCTTGACACGGGGACTTGGCCAACAAACCGCCCTCTCTACCAGGTGCCTCCAGAAATGTCTTCCACGTTTCTTTCTCGAGACGCGTTTGGGGGGCGCGCAAATTCCTCTGTTTGGGGGCCCAAACTATTACTAGCTAGCAGGCGAGACAGCTTCCAGCACAGCGCTGTATCTCCTTGTCGCTTAGCCCGACTTAATTCACCCGCATG